CGGGTCTGGATTGAGGGTGGGATGAGTGTGGAGTGTGGAGGATTAGGGTGCAGGAGGTTTGGGTCAAGGGAATAGGGGACAAGGTTTGATTTGTTGTTATTTTTCTTTCGTAGACGTGGGCTGGCTTGGCTGCGGTTGTGTAGGATGCTTAGTTAGACTGTCGAGGATGACGCTCATGGCTGGCGGTGGTTTAGTAGAGTCGATATGCGTACGGCTTGACTCGGTTTTTATCGGGTAGGAGCAATGCCGCTTGTGATTTGGATGGAATGTGCGATAAGAAAGGTTTGAAACGGCCTTGTCCCATGGCTCTCGAATACAGTGGTAAGTGGGTAGAGGTGGGGGTACGGTAGGGCTGCCAAGGACTGGGTAGAGTTAAGGTAGGGTCTCATATAATATCTACCCTATCCTACCTCTACCTGACTCTTGGCAACCCTACCCCTACTTCTACCCGCGGCCCGTGCGACTACTACCATAAATCTCCCATATCCTATGGTAGGAGCTACCCATTTACCAGTGTACTCTTGACTTGTACATGTTTTCCTAAGTAGGGTTAGCTCGTATCAACCGTCAAGATCCCTTGACACTTACCATACACACAAGATCATTGTAAAACAGCCTGTACATAACGTGAAACAATGCATTTGCAAGAAGTGATAGAAGTTTCAATACTTGATTGAAAATATGTACAAAAAGCTACTGCCATAGAAAGGAATTCATAAACTAGCCCTAGAGTCCATCCAATGCTCTATGCCATTGCCATCTCTCACTCACTCATCTCCACATGATTGCGATTGCAAACCTCATCGAGGATATTCTCAGCACAGTTGCGGGTAGCTTAGTTACCAGATTGCTGAGCGAATCCGAGCCTGGGGCCGTTGCTGCCCATCTCGTGGATGACGTACTTGCTCTTAAGGAAGATATCACCAAAGATGCTGAGACCAAGGTCAGAAGACGACTGGAGACCACCGAAGCAAGTGCCATCGCCGTTGGGGGCAAAGTTGATGTACTTTCCGGGAATGGTCTGCTTGACGCCACCGACAACGATGGAGAAGTCTGGCAGAGTGCTGGAGCAGGGGAAGACGTAGCCTCCTTGCTGGGAGTCGACCTTTGCGCCACGGACCTGTGCATAGTAGGTGCGAAGGATAGAGTCATCGACGTAGACAAGGCTGGTACCGGTGTCGGCAATAGCATCAATGCTGGCCGAAGTGGTCTTTGTGCCGACAGCGTAGCCAGTGGCGGAAAAGCCCCAGAAACCTTGGCTGTCATCAACGTTGACATAGGTGATGGCACCGGTGTACTTGCTGGAGTCGATGAAACCAAAGTCATAGGAGCCAGCGGCGTGGTACTTGAGGTTGACAGAGAACACCGGCTTGGCGAGCTGGGACTTGACGGTGTCAAAGAAAGTGGTTTGCTGGACAGGCTTAACAGTGTTAATGGAGCTCATGGCGAGACCCAAAAGACCGTCAGTGTTGGCATCCGAGGAGAAGGAGGCCGAAACTGATTGGGCAGCCTCAACAGCCTGGGAAGTGGCTGTGATGGGGCCAACAGTGACTGAAATAAAGTTAGTATAAGTCTTGATAAGCACAAGAGTCTTTTGATGATTGTATCAATCACTTACCCTTGTCGGCGTACACCTTGCCAGAGGCACCAGATCCATCTCCATAGGAGATCTTCCAGGTGTAACCGCTCTTGGCCTTGGAGGGGTCCACGGTGTAGTAGCTACGGCCGCTGAGTTGCGACTGGGGCTGGAGGGAAGAGTATACCCAGCTTCAGTGGCATTAGTCTCGACTCATGATGAGATGGCTGAACCAATATGCTAAACTTACAGATCGGAACTTCCAGTGTCAAAGTCCAGGTGGAAAGTCTTTGTGCCAATGGTGACAGGGCTCAAGTACGAAGCATCGTACTGATCGTTAGGAGAGGCAGTGACAGAGCCGCTGCTGGAGGTGGCCTCGACAACGACCGTGTTTGCACGGTTCTCAGCCGCCTTGACAAGGCTCTCAGGAACAGGCTTGCCGTACTTGCGCAGAGCCTTGATCTTGTCTGCTGGTCCGTTCTTCAGGTGGGTAGAGTGGGGGACCTGGTTGATAGAGAAGGTACCGCGTTTGTCTATATCAATTCCAGGGTCAGTCAAGATTCAAAGGCAGTCCCCCTTATTTGACGTACCGAGCTGGATGGGGTTTGCGGCAACGCTGCCAGCAAGGGCGAGCGCCGCTGTGAGGTTGACAATGGATGGCATAGTGGCAATGGACCGTGGAGACTCTTGAAGGCAAGCGAAAGAATGGCAGTGGAGCTGTGATGGATACAAGACATAGAGGTTGGACTTGGCTTTATACCAAGCATTGCCATGAGCATGGCGATATGGGTCCCACTTTCCTTGACGATGATGTGCTCCGTACCCTGTCGATAAGTTGTTGGTAGAGGGCGCTAGGTTAGCGTGGGCTGTGACATATCAGGGTATTAGTGGAGATCAAGTTGGTCACGAAATTCGCTACTGCAGCCATTCATGGCAAGCAACCTGATTTGGGCCATCGGCGAATGCCTGGTGTTTATTGGGCTCGTGTTTCAAGCGGTTACCTGCTCAATCAGACCTGGCGTGAATCACATTAGCGGGCTCGGAGTATATGAGTGGGCGCATAGACGGACATGATGTTTCTCTGCAATCGACAGACAAAGAGGAAGGTGGCGAAATCAAGCCTATCGTGTATAACCATAGGGCCGACTGAGTGTATGGTGTAGTATTGGTCAAGAGCCGGATTAGTGGTTTACAACGGTGTGCGCTAGCCGCCTCGGACGCATAGACTGTGATTTCCTTGCTATAGGGCTTGCACACAATAGGAAGGCTGTATCGATTGAAGTGCTGGTAGCGTAGATGGACGCAGCAATACTAAGAGTGGCGATGGGGGATAAGTGCCAGGGGAAAAGAGTAGTATGCACCAGTCACAGCATCAAGATGGTGCCAAGCCTCGCCATTTCACTCTTAGCAGCGTTAAGCTCAAGCCAAGGCAGCCACCGCTGTGAAACGAAACAAGGCGAAAACCGGGGGATGCGTAGAGTACTGTTATCTCAACAGCTGCAAAGGTGCTCTATGGCAATTGGGCGATGGGCGTGAGTGGGTAATGCTGCATGATCACATGCACTCTACATACAGAGACGACTGTCGTACTACCCACGTACTATGCGGCCTGACAACGGTCTCTGCGATTTGGGTCCCACGGAACTGCATATTTTCAGACCACCATGGAAGATGGCGATCGGCAACTCGTGATGCCACCTCAAAACAATGCGCGGTGGATACCCAAGGCATGAAATTAGGGACTGTCGGCAGGGGCTGGATTGGGTAGGTGGCGAAGTAGTCTGGCTATGGACAAGGGAGTCGAGACGGTTGACGCGCAACTAGAGGGTATTCCCGTGTGTTTGGCCGGCCTGCAATGTCTCATGGAGGGGGCCGGGGCATGATGCGAATTTCGTTGTTGGCCAGTTAGCCAGTGTTTCTAGTGTGTGCAGCCTTGAACCTTCCTCTTTGGGCGACAGCCCGACAGATGAAGCGTCATATGCCCCTGCACACGTGCACCACGCCTATGGAGGGTACCAAGCCTTGGGATGCTACTCTTGGACAACGCTTATCACTCTCTTGCAGCCTCGGCGCTGCCGAACATGCACGCCTGCATGACGTTTTGCCGCAACCCACCGATAACACGTCCTGGAATTTGTCCATGGATTGTGTAGACATGTCTTCAGCCGTCAAAAAAGGTCCTACATCACAGCACCTGCCGCTTTGGCATACGGCCCGGGCAACCAACCTCCCAAGGGCCGATTGTCTCCAGCAGATTTTTGCCCGCTAACTGCTACCCTCTCCCCTATTGTCTTCCTAATTCCCCAGGCCAAGCTGCTATAGGAAGCTTGGTATTCACACATCATTTCATGGCACTCGCCTGCTTCGGACTTGGATGCTAATCGGGTATCATTTACAGCAATCGTCCTCTTCGCGCCTTTTCTCTAATCAACTAACACAATAACTCATATGCACTGCACCACAACTATCCGCTTTCTGTCTGTCCGCTAACAGCACTCTCTAGCTGCTTGAGTGCCGCCCGGTACGCCTGCTTCTTCCCATCAGCCGTCACGGCACTCTCTTTCCATTCCATACGCTTCACTTTCTTGTTTCCGCGTTTGATGCCATCACCCTTGGCTATCTGCTTCAAGAACCACGCCGCCTCCGTCTTGCTGAACAACGTCCACGCCTGTCCTGCCTTGCCGGCTCGCGCTGTCCTGCCCACGCGGTGCACGTAGCTGGTGATGCTTGTCGGCAGGTCGTAGTTGATCACGTGTGTAATGTCAGGGATATCCAACCCTCGAGACGCAGCGTCTGATGCAATCAGTATCTTGACGGCCCCAGAACTGAACGATTTGAGCAATTTGCGCGACGCATCTGCCGTCAATGCCCTAGTCATGGTCTTGAGATGGTTCTTGAACCCCGGCATAAGTGCACTCAACAAATGCGACAGCCGGGATGCGCTCTCTGTACTCTTGGTGAAGATGAGAACGCGGCCTGTTTGCCGCGGCGCTGATGATTGGCTGACTTGACCAGCATCAGAATCATCATCTGAAGAAGAAGAAGAAGAAGAATCCGACGAGTCTGAATCCGATGACGGGTCTGCATCTTCATGCTTTTCTGTGAAAACAAAGTTGAGCAGCACATGCAACAGGTGCAACGGCTTGTTCGCGCCATCGCCAACATGCACAGCAAACTCTTCCAGCTTCGACGGTAGCTCGAAAACATTGTCTTCCGTCTCCATAGACTGCAGCTCCGTGCTCGCATCCTGCACAACAACCAGCTTCGGTCGCCTTAGTTTCAATGTGCCAAGTTTGCTGAGATCTTTTTCCATTGTTGCCGACAGCACAACTTTAGTCACCTGTCTTTGGGGCAACGCCACAGACCAGGCAGAGTTAGCATCCCGTAGTTGCTTGGCCATTCGCTCTCGAGCATCCATGAATTCGGGTCGAGTTTCACCGTGAATAGCATCCATCAGCACGCTCGCCCAGCCCTGGAAGTTTTGGTTGAGCAGCTGGTCTGCTTCATCAATGACAAGCCATCGGAGATTATTCAGCAGAAAGCCCGTTGTATGCTCGATGTGCTCTACAAGTCGGCCTGGCGTACATATGAGAATATCCACGCCCGAATCGTACTTTGGCACGTGTCCGATAGGCATGCTCTTCAGATCCTCATATAGTCCTCCTCTTTCCATCAGGCCCGTTTGGTACTGCTGTAACGCTTTCTCGTTGAGCTCTTGTGCTCGTTTTTGGTCGTATTGCGACCTCATCTTGACAAGTTGCTTTTGTTCCGTGGCGAATGCGACATTGCCCAATGCTGTTCCAACTTTGATCCTTGTGCCAGCACATAATTCCTCAGCGACTTGAAGGGCCTGGTTGACAAGTTGTCGGCTTGGTACGACTATAATTGCCGAGAGTATGGGGACAGCGCGGTCTTTGAGCGCCTCGATAATTGGTAGCAAATATGCTAGCGTCTTTCCAGACCCCGTCTTTGCAGAGACACATATGTCGCCAAGGTGCTGGTCAAAGCCAGGGTGTAGCATAGGTAGCAATGCCATTTGCACAGCCAATGCGTCCTTGAACCCTTGTTTCTCCAGTTTCTTTACGTATGTAGCGTCGACGCCAAGCCCAGAAAATGGGAAAGTCTTGGATGCCTCGACCGTGGTGGGCTGGGCGAGCCATGTGGGAAGGGTAGAAAAGGTCGGCTCGTATACTGGCTCGGGAACGGGTGCTGGCTGTGGCATGGGCTCTAGATCATGGAGCTCTTCCTCCTCTTCCTCCTTGTCAGCTGTCTCGTCTTCATGCTGCTGGCTCTTTGCCTCGGCTAGTTTGGAGGATTTTTCGAATTTGGAAAGTATGCTCTTGTGCTTCTTTGCGATCTCGTTGTGCTCATTGTTTGCTTCGTCGGTTTCGCGCTTTCTCCTTTTCGGTTTCTTGACAGATCTTGGTACTGCATCATCTTCCACAGGCGTGATCACAGATCCGGCGACAGGCTCATTTGTGGTATGCGCAGAATTCGAGGTTTCGCTGTGTACTGGGGTGGGTGAGGGCTGTTTTTTGGGCGCAGGCGCAGGCGGCGCAAACCGCTTGAATAGAGGGCCAGCCATCGCGTGTGATATCCAATGCGATCCCTGTGTAGAAACTGCTCAAGCAGTAGTCTGAAAAAAAATCGTGGCGCTTTATAATCGTTCGAGCAGAAGAAGTCGTGCACTAGGAATTCCGGACCTAGAAATTTGGTCGGAGCTTGGAGAGCGAAACGCCGATCAGTGACGCGCCTCGGATTGTACATCCACACATGCACATGCGACGAAGGCACCACTCGTCGCCCTTAGCCACCAATGCTTCGGTGAGCTGCCATGTGTCCTTTCCTTGAGCAGAGTGGAGGAAATCATCCTTCCGCACCGCCATCATGCCGTACAACATCGCGTTCGTATTCAATGCCCCTCGCGCCATCCACCCAAACTAACACGCTGCAGTATGGTCAGCGACAACTTCTACCCCCAGCCCGGTATGAACCATGCCAACAGGCAATGAACTGTCTTCTCATATCCTATAGGAGGAGTAGAGAGTCACATGTACCAGCTGTCAAGCGTGAGCACCCTTGAAGCCGCTAGCCTGTGACTTGTCCTTACCAGCCCAGAAACTCATCGACCGTGGACACAAGGTCATTGTCATCACCCACGCCTACGCGGGCCGAAAGGGCGTGCGATACCTGACCAATGGACTTAAGGTCTATTACGTTCCCTTCTGGGTCATCTATCGCGAGACCACCTTTCCCACTGTCTTCTCCTTTTTCCCCATCTTCCGTAACATTGTCATCCGCGAGCGCATCGAGATTGTCCATGGACACGCCAGTCTGAGCAGCCTTTGCCATGAAGCTATTCTGCATGCGCGCACAATGGGCCTGAGGACGGTTTTCACCGACCACAGTCTGTTTGGTTTCGCTGATGCTGCAAGCATTTTGACCAACAAGTTGCTTAAATTCACCTTGAGCGACGTTGATCATGTCATCTGCGTCAGCCATACTTGGTGCGTCATCTTCCTTGTCTCATGTTCATCTGCTAACCAGCAGCAGCAAGGAGAACACCGTGCTCCGAGCATCTCTCGATCCCCTCATGGTCTCCGTCATTCCCAATGCAGTAGTCGCCGAAAACTTCCGTCCTCTTTCGCAAAACTCGCAAGACACAGTGCAGCCTAAGGCGCCGGGCCCCCGGCAGCCCATGGACCCGGATGAGATCATCACAGTGATTGTAATACAGCGACTATACTACAACAAGGGCACCGATTTGTTAGTAGCCGCTATCCCTCACATCATTGCCGCGAACCCAAACGTTCGCTTCATAATTGCCGGGAACGGTCCCAAGGCTATCGACCTAGAACAGATGATTGAACGGAACGTGCTGCAGGATAAGGTTCTCATGATCGGCCCGGTCCGCCACGAAGAAGTGCGTGATGTCATGGTGCGTGGGCACATCTACCTCTGTCCATCGTTGACCGAGGCATTCGGTACGGTCATTGTAGAAGCTGCATCATGCGGTCTGTACGTTGTAGCCACAAGAGTGGGTGGTATTCCCGAAGTCCTACCCACGCACATGGTGGAGTTTGCGGCACCCGAAGAAGACGAACTTGTCGAAGCGACTGGGCGTGCGATTGCCAAATTGCGGGCTGGAAAAGTCAGGACAGAGCTGTTTCACAACCAGGTCAAACAAATGTACTCGTGGACCGACATTGCGCAAAGGACAGAACGAGTATATGATGGTATCAGTGGAGTGATTAGCCATGGCGAGTTTTACCAGGGAGCAGGGGCAGCTGGTGCATGGAGCGCTACTCGAGGTCGAGCAGGCGTGCAGAGCTTTGCTCTCATTGAACGACTCAAGCGATATTATGGTTGCGGAATCTGGGCCGGCAAACTCTTTTGTATCTGCGTCATTGTCGACTACCTCATCTTCCTCGTGTTGGAAATGTTTGCGCCCAGGTCAAGGATCGACATTTGCAAGGACTGGCCCAAGAAAGCTATCCAGCCGAAACCAGAGGTGAATAAGAGATATGTGCGTAACACAGACGATGACACGGGAGTGGTTAGAAAGAGGAGCGCCAGGTATCGCAAGCCGAAAAGAGAAATACTAGAAGATAGATGAGAACAAGAAAAGAAGATATGTAAGTAATTTTGAAAAAAAGGACTTTTTTATTGTTCAATATTACGACTACTGTCGCCCACCGTATGAGCATGACAGAGAATCGTCAAGAAGGTAAAATGCTATCTACTCGAAGCCCGTAGGCGGTATATCATACCGGAACGCTGAACCGGTAACTCCTTCCATGAAGAAAAAAAACGCCAGTAAAATGCTTTGTACAAGAACAAGTCAGAAAGAGAAGAAGCTGAAGAATCAGGAGGGTAAAAAAACACATTCACACATGACCAAGCCCTGATGGGAGCTCAAGCATAGAACCAGTACTGCGCACTGTACTCGACGGTAAAGCTACCCTCGATACCCTCGCACGTCTTGGGCGCAACACCACCGGCAGTGTGTACCCGGTAGACCTCATTGTACGCCCACTGCTTATCGGTACCGACCGTCGCATTGAGCTTCAACCACGGGACGCTACCGAGACTGTTGGTACCGAGGCTCGCAGTCGTCGGGGCAGGGCTCTTTGCATCAACTGCGCACTCGACACGGCCGTAGTCGACATCTTGCGTCTGGAGCATGAACAGTGGAACGCCGGCGGCGGTGAACTCGTGGTGACCCGATAGCCGCTTCTCGGCTTCTGGGGAGACGGGGATGGCGTAGTTGAGGGCGAGGTTGGTGACTTTGGCGAGGGTTTCCGTGTTGAGGCGGGCGGCGTCGCAGGTTACGTTGAAGAGGGAGGCGACGGCACCGACGGCTTTGGGCGTGTCCGAGGCGGTGGAGGAGGCGCACGTGTAGTTTTGGGTGCCGCGGCCGATGGCGATGTGGCGGAGGGAGGTGCCTTGGGCTGGGGCGGCCAAGGGAGTGGGGGCTGGTTGGAGTGTTAGTGTTTGTTTGTGGATGCATGTGAGTGGAGGTGAGGCGACGTACCGTTGGGAAGCTTGACGTTGGATAGGTCACAGAGGGCGTCGGTCTTCTTCAGCTGCTCGTAGATACCGACAGGCAGGTGCGGTCTTGGGATGAGTGCTGCAATCGAATCGGCATTCTGTGTTGGAGCAGCGAAGAGAGCGGTAGGCGCAAGAGCCAAGACGAGGCTGAGAGAGGTCGAGAAGATCATTTTTTCGGATTGGAGGTTGTAGATGCTTAGGTGGATGTAGGTGTTGTTGTGGTGGTGGTGTTTGTGTGTAACCGTCGATCCAAGGTTGTTGACAAGCACCGTATATATATCTCCAAGTGCAGGAAGGTGAAAGTGAAGGTGAAAAAAATAGACCGATCTTTTCCCAGAATAGATCTTTTTTTGGTAAAGGTGGGTGAGTGAGCGTGAGTTGTCTTTGTTGCTGACGCTGATGCACCGCTTCCTCTTTCGTAAATAGAAAGAAAACCCTCGGAACGGAATCTATCCGTAGTTTAAATCGAGAGTGGAATTATATGAAAAATCACGAGATGAGTGAAACGGATGCAAGATTCCCAAAAAAAAAGATGTCAAGGCAAGAGATAACCCCAGAACAATGGAAGACGGTGATTCGTGGAGCGGGAGCGGGAGAGGGTGAGAGGGAGGAGTAGGCGTGAGTGTGTGAGTGTGTGAGTAAGAAACAAAACAAACCCGTTCTCCAATAGTTCCTATATACACAGATGCTCCCTCGTAGAAACTCTAGACCAACGCACGCGACACGACAGCTTGGTTTCCAGCGCGTAGTCGACATAGTGCCTGGCCCACCAACGGACATGGGGTTCTGAATTGCCCAAAGCCCAGTCGTTTACTCTCTCCCCCATGCCACGACCGCTCTGTTACCGCCGTGGTACCCACTTTTTGGACCCTTGCACGCCAGGAAGAAAAGACCCCAAATATAGACGGCAGGGGTGCGATTGGACGACAGCGCTCTACAACAGCCATGCACGAGCGGGAGAGGGGCCGTGCTTTTTGCCTTTCTTTTTGGCTTCGCTTGACTACCGAGGCGCCCAAAGACGAGGAAGAAGGAGAAAACAGATTGACGTGCTTAGTTCTAGGCTACATGGGGAGCTGGCGCGAACGCCTGACGGAGGAGGCGGGTTGAGCAGTGAGAATCCTGGGAGCGGAGCGTGAAACTGGTGCTGGTCATGATGATGGCGATGATTTCATGAGTAGTCATCTGAACACACGTGAACATGTTGCCCTTCACGCTGATGCGATGCTGACCGCAAGCCATGGCGCTGTTCTCCAAAATATCCACGCCTTTTGTGCGCACACAGCTGCATGTTACGCCTTACGCGCAACTTGGATCCAACAATACACCCATATCTCGCAAAAAGAAGAGAAACAAGTATCATTAACCCACAACAACTATACCAGCGCAGATAACCCCCCCTCCAGCGTCGTCAACACCGGTGGAAATTACACCCACACCCAAAATATCCCACTTCCATCGCGCAAACCTCCCAACGGGTGGCCACCCGCCCGCAGAGCCGCCCGTACTACAACCATACATAGCCCAATATCCTTCCCACCTACCCGCCCTCCAACTTACCCATACTCCCCCTCCCCATGTCCACCCGCACCAAACCCCTTCTAGAAGGTCGCCAGATAGTAAAATCACTAGAACAAGGATATATAGTAATAAATAGCTCGTCAAGAAAAAAAAAGGGTTGTCCCTAATATAGCTCACCACGGCGGAAAGGAGGATATTGACAGCTAATATGACTCCACTGGGACTAGCCGCGAGAGGGTAAAGCCAATCATGTGCGTGGGAGCGGGGCCGGGCGCGAAGATGGGCGAACGAATGGTGGGCGCGTGGAGGGGAACGAGGGTGGCTGGACAGGCCGCGCCCGGGTGGCGGATGGGCCATGTTTGGCAATGGCGTTCGGGTAACTATCCGTACTCCTAGTAGCTGTGTTTTTTTTTGTGTTGTTCGTTTTCGCGGTGTGGAGAAGGGCTTGAGTCAGGATGGTCTGATTACGTGGGGTTGTTGTTGTTTTTTTTTGAGAAAGAGAGAGAGAGAAGAGGCTGGTTGGGTGGAGGTCAATTGAGTAGTATGCTCCATCTGTGTAGTAGTAGCAGTAGTAACTACGTAGACAGAAACCAAAGGTGTAGTACTGTGTGTTATTCTAATTCTAGTACACACTAAATGTTCTCAGGCGCATCGCTGTGCCGGTTATCCAGACACCTAGAAGAACTGCTTGGGGGGTTGGATGGATGACATGAATTCAGCCTTTGTTCCTTTCATTTCTGCTCCTCTGAAAGCGCGTGTACAATGAATGTCTGCGTCTTCTTGGAAGGTGGGTTTGCGACTGGGCAGGTGTACAAAAAACTATTCGTCGAGTGTTTAGCGCTTCCAAGTATGTGCAGTGTCGAGGACACAGCCGCCGGATAGAGCAGGTGCCGGTTGCATTGTCATACCAAGGAAACCTGTTTCTACAAGGCACAAAGTCTAGAATCTTGTAGCCTTGAATTTTCGACATGTTTAGATTGCCAATTGCTAGGCATGTGGGTCTAGTCTTGTGAGAGGTGCGTGTGACATGGTGTTTTTCGAATATCCTCAGTATACCAACCACATGACGAAAAACATGGAAAAGGGGCGTTACACATCATACACAGCTTGATTAAGCAAAAGGAAAAAGGGCAAAAAGAGCACGTATCAATCCCCGGTTCAAAGTTCACATGGTACCAGGCGCGTACGTATACGGCCGAAACGTGTAACTCTACATCCCGACAAGAAGGAAAAAAGTCCCTCATGGAAACGACCCTAATAGTACATTGTCCAAACAACAAACACCATCCTGTGCCCCCATGACCTCTCAGCCAGCATCACGAGTGGCCCTCATCCTCATTATGCCAAACATGCGTATCTTCAGCCCCTGGAAGAGGTCCTCCCGGTCCGGCAGCAGCAACAGCCGCCGCTCCAGCCCCCGCCTCGTAGCTAAAGAGAAAATAGAAAACCATGAAATGAAGCGCTAGCAGGTATCCCGCAAACATGTTTCGACTCGTCCGCGTCTGCAGCACAAATTTGGTGACGCGTAATATCATGCGTTCGAAGAGATGCATGCGCTTCATTGCTCGCGCGCTTTCGCGACCCCGGAAGGCTGCAAAAGGGCTGATATTGGACTCGTATGCTGAGCGGTATTTTGTATCGACCGTCGAGGCGCCTCCATCGCCCATGTTAATGGCTGAGGGGTTCGGGTTTACGCCAAAGCTCGAGGCACTGGACGCAGGGCCCCTGTTGACTGCATTGTAACTACTGATATACCTGGTCTTTTCATACAGATCCAGATTGTCCTTTTGCAATGCGCCGACCTCGCTCCTCAGAGAGGATATGGTCTGGTAGGATTTCTGGAGCTCGGCTTCAAGTTCCGAGTTACGTTTCTTGAAGCGATCTCGCTGTGCGGTGACCATGGGAAGGATGCCTGAGCCTCCTCCCATTTCACCACCTCCACCCCCTGCACGAAGAGAGGCAAGCGTTGGGGCTTGTGATGAACTATCAAAGCCTGAGATGATTGACGATGTTGGGGAGGAGCGACCTTTTCGACCACCAAATGATGATTGTGGGAATCGCGAAACATATGTGCCCGCGACTGACATGCCAGAAGGGTCAAAGGCATTTGTAGCCTCCTGCTGGACTTTTTCAAGGTCAGCCTCCAGCGTCTCGTTGAGCTGTCGTGACTTTTCCAAGTCCATGTTTGTATTTGACAGCTCCTCTTGAAGCGCCTCTAGCCTGCTCTGCAGGTCTTGGTGTGACACACGCATGACTGTAAGCTCATTGCTGAGTTTTTTGTTACGAGCAAGCAGGAGCTGTTCAAGCGTCTCTCCTTTGCCTTTGCCAGATGCACCATTTTGTGAGAGTGCAATCTCAGTAGCCTCATCATCATCGTCGCCAGTTGCGAACTCGATTGACTAGCGCAGGTTAGCATGCATCCTTGCCTGTATACTCTAAGAAGCCACACCTTCAAGACCTCGAGTTCCTGCTTGACGTTCTCGTAGTCACTCCATTTTTGGACCTTCTCGCGAAGTGCTTCTTTCTCGCTCTTTAAAGACTTGATCTCCCGTTCCAAGCTTCGCATTTCAGTTTCGAGACGCGTCCTGTCGGAATCCTTTTCGAACCGCGCATTTTCCAGCTTTCGCAGGAGTGACGAGTTTTCGGATCGCAGGCGTAGGAAGGCAGGGTCGTCTTCAATTGCGACTTGTTGAGCCGGTGCCGATGCAGACTGAGCCAACTCTAGACGTAGTTGTTCGTTCCGGGCCGTAATTTCGGCCAATCGGTGGCTTGTTCGCTCAAGCTCTGAGCTGACAATCTCGAGCTCCGCAGCTGTGGCACCTCGGCCTCCTTCTTCGGCTGCCTCTCCCTGACCAAGTCGCTGTGAGACTTCGTAGCTGGCTTTGAGTTCCTTCAGCAGCCGGTCCTGGTTCTCAACCTTCTCTTCCAGGGCCTTCTCCTTAGACTCCCAGTTGTCCTGCTTCTCGCTCAAGACAGCCGACCATGATGTCTCGACCTCCTTGATCTTGCTGTCGCGGCTATCTTCAAGAGCCTTGCGTGCGGTGCGCTCCTCTTCTAGTTTCTTCTCCGACTCATCGAGCTGTGTTGTAAGTCTGGCTACGGTTTTCTGCAAGCGCTCGTTTTCAGATGTGAGTTTCGGCACGAGCTCCTCAGAGGTTACGAGGGAGTCGACGGAGGCTTCGAGCAGGGGATACGGGTCGGGAGCCTCAGAAAGCGGCGAGTAGACTTGGAAGAAGGCGGCTTGTATGGTCTTGGACTGGTTGGATATAAGATCAATGAAGTTTTGGTAAGCTGTCAAATTGGCTTAGCATAGGCAAGTCAATCCGAGTGCGCTGACATGTGCTTACACTTGAGGAGGCCTTTGATATCGTTGAGCTTGCTCGCGTCGTCTAGTTTCCTAAAGTCTTTTGTCTTTTGCGCGAGGTCTTTTCTTTGCGTGAGAGTGTCTCGTTGATGTGCAACGAGGTCTGAGGCTACGGTATCAAGTTGTGGGATGAGCGAGGTGAGGTCGATGTCTGGCGCATTGTCAGCCTATATGTGCAGGTTGGGTCCGCGGGGAGCATCCCATACTTCTCCATGCGCCGATGGCCTTTTGGAACTTGTTGCCTTCTTCGGGAACTTGTTCGGGTGCTTGCGATTGCTCGCTGGTGGCTGGTGGAGCCACGACGGTGTCCTCCATGTCAATGCCACCCTCCATGGTAGCGCTATAGTCGTTGGTGCCAGCTGTGGAAGACGTATAGATATTTGCGTGCAGCACTTGATCCCGTCGACGGCGCGTTGAAGGTGACGAGGTGGACGTGGTGGGTTACGTATGCATACCAGGTGCCCATGAAACTGCGGAGGGTGCGGCGTTAGGCGGCCCTAATTGGTGGGCTGGGCTACTAAGTATGGAGCATAGGAAGCGCGATGCATGGTACATAGCTTGCCAGGCTCCCGACTACACATCCACCCACAATGACTTCGCAGGCATAGCCGGTCATGGCGCATGTGATGCTTCGACACCATGGCAGAAGCATCTTCCCAGTCGCAGCTGTCCGGGCGACGTCCCCCGCAACACGGCCCCTACATCCTTCGCAAGCTCGTCGCCAACCTGCCACTGGCCGCTGATGGCGCCTCCGACAATGTCCGCATCACCTGCGTAGAGGTGTCGGGTGTGTATATCCCATTGTATCCAGCTATCCTGGGGCTTGCTGACCTGTGAAGACGGCAATCTCTACGTCGGTACTTCGGCCGCCGAGATCCTTCACTTTGTTCTGCTGCCACCCGAGTCCGACGACCCTGCTGAAGAACCCACGGCCATCATCGCCTCGAGATTGGAGCCTCCGCACAACGATCCCAATGGACCCGGTGTACAGCAGATCCTGCTCCTTCCCAGCATCAACAAGGCCTGCGTGCTTTGCAACAATACCTTATCGTTGTACTCGCTCCCTGAATTGAGCCCAGACTCAACCTTCAAGCCCATCGGATGCCTCTGGGTCGGAGGTGTGGACCTCAACCAAGACTTAGATGCGCCGTCTGAAGATGGCGTCGTGGTGGTCATTGGGCTGAAGAAGCGACTGCGACTGGTGCAGATATCCGAGAACTCGCCCCCAAAAGCCATCAAAGCAATCGAGTATGGAGGCTGCTTGGTATCAGTGCGCCGCGACACATTTTCGTGTGCCGCCGATGCCCACTCCTATGCGCTTCTTGATGTGGTGCACCAACAGAAGATTGGCCTCTTTCCCATATCATCTTTGGATCCAGATGTTGGTGACGTAGGTGGGGCCGCCGAACATCTGGCTACCGTGCCGAATGCGCCATCCAGAAGTATCTCTTCAGCTAGTCCACAGCCGCGTCTGGAAGAGCAGCATAGTCATGTGAGAAGCACAAGTCTGAGTGTTCTAGGCCTGAGCGGTCACACCTCCCGCACCGCAAGCCCGCGTCCTGCAGCGCAACGATATGGCTTTGATGTACCAGAGTCGTTGTCTCGTGATATGTCGCCAGCCCCAGTACGGTCATCCTTAGAGGGAACAGGCAGAGCATCTAGCCAATCTCGGGCCGGCGCAACTTCACCCGACAAACCTCTGCCTGCACCTCCTTCGGAGGATAACCAGCCCCAAGAGGAGCCTTCACTACCTGAGCCGCCTCGTTTCATCCCGCTGAAACCTCACGTCGCATCACCAAATCCAAATGAGTTCCTGCTTACAGTGGGTACTACACCCACAGATCAGGGTGTTGGTATGTTTGTAAATCTTGATGGTGACATGTGTCGTGGAAGCATTCAGTTCAGCAGTTATCCCGATGCCATTGCAGTAGACGGGTCCGGGGTAGACATGTCCGGATCTATGGGCACAAACATGGACGCTGAGGAGGGCTACGTGTTAGCTGTTGTGCATCGAGAACATGAGGGCACCTTAACCTATGGTGTGGAAATTCAACGGTGGGACGTGGACCCAAGTAATGCGGAAGTCGATAAACACTGGCTCAACTTCAGTCCGCTGGGTCTCACGGTGGATGACAGCGGCTCCTATATCTCAGCTCCAGTCGGTATGCGTACTGTGGTTCGGCCGTATGACCTGGTCATCCCAGAAGTAGGCGCAAAACTTACCGTGCAGCCACTGCGACTTGAGTCTTCCGAGACTGCTTCAGAAAAATCTGCTGAAAAGCCAAAAGTCCAAACAAAAGCAGATCGGGATTTTGTTGAGCGCCTCTCAAGGTTACAGTCGCAAACTGTTGTTTGGGCTGGAGATCAGATTTGGTGGACCGTACGCAACCCATTGGTGACTCGTCTAGATGCTCGAATTGAGGAGGCTCAATATGCCACTCAAGGAGATAGGACGCGTATACAGCCGAATCGAGCGTTACTGGAGAAACTGCTTGGCGACATACGCGGGCAGGAGCCACGCAATGAGTCAGAGTACCTCAGTCTCATCTACATCCGCCAAAAAGCCTCACTCATGCTCTTTATGGACGTGGTTCTTCGCACCAAGACGAACATTATCATATTCGAGAATGAGAAGCGCATCACCGAGCAAGCGCTGATTGAGGGTGAGATGGATCCACGGGTTGTCCTGAGTCTTATGCCTATTCTTAGTAAGGAGGTAGTCCAAGGATCCGATGGCATACAGATATATGGCGGAATTACGACCATGGTAGAGCAGTTTCTGCGTCAAATTGATTTTTCTGCCATGTCGACCAACGCCAATGGGCCGTTTGGGGACAACTTGCTACATTTCGTCAAGCGCTATCTCCAATTCTGGAAGAGGCGGAAAGGAATGGCAAGCGTAACAAATGACCCTCATGTGTTCAAGACTATTGATGCAGCACTGCTTCACATCCTTCTGCTCTTGGACCAGGGAACTTCAAAGGGGACATCAAGCCCAGGCAGCCACCGAGCAGAGCTTTACGAACTTGTTGATAGAGAAGTCGAATGTTTTGACAGAGCCGTCGAACTACTCGAACAATTCAAGCGTCTCTACGTACTTAGTCGGTTATACCAGGGTAATTGCAAAGCTTCTGTCAAGTCATCCAAGGTGCTTGCAACCTGGAGGCGAATCATTGAAGGCGAAGAAGACAGGGGCGGCGAGCTTGTAGATGGCGAACTCAAAGTGCGAGAATACTTGAGCAAGATTCGCGATCAAACCCTGGTCGAAGAGTACGGCGCATGGCTCGCAAATCGAAACCCTAAGCTCGGCGTCCAGGTTTTTGCTGATGACCAGAGCAGGGTCAGATTTGATCCTGCACGAGCTGTTGATTTACTAAGAGAGAAGGCGCCAGGTGCGGTCAAAGAGTACCTGGAGTACCTTGTGTTTGGAAGCAAGAAGGTTTGTTGAGAAGCTCGATCCTTACTGATATTTTCACTAACATCATTTGCAGCATCCACAATACGTGAACGAACTGATTGCCTTCTATCTTGATACGGTCATCAGCGAGCTCGAGAAGAATCCCGAATCGCGTGCTACGTTGTCCGAAGGCTACGAGACATACCGCATCCTCGAGCCACCCAAGCCTACGTACTACTTGTTCATAAGTGACAATGCTAGTGATGTCGAGTGGTGCCGTGCCAGGCTCCGCCTGCTTCAATTGCTCGGCGAGACATCGTCTTACGACGTCAATGCAGTGTTGTCGCGCCTACAGCCCTATGAGCAAGAGCTTGTCTCTGAGATGATCATTTTGAACGGCCGACAGGAAAGACACGAAGAAGCTTTGAAACTACTCACACACGGCCTCGGCGACTACGATACTGCCATAAACTACTGCCTTTACGGCTATGCATCCATCCATCGCCCTGTAACAACTGGTGGCCCTCCTGTTTCGCTCAATCAGATTCCCACTCGTGCAGAGCAATCTCGTTTGTTCAGAGTCCTCTTGCAAGAGTTCTTGAATATCGAAGATCTCTCTCAGCGTGTCGAACGCACGAGTGAGCTTCTTGAACGTTTCGGCGGCTGGCTTGATGTAGCTGATGTTTTGGCGGTTGTGCCAGATGAATGGTCCGTGAATGCATTCTCTGGGTTCTTAATTCACGCTCTTCGTAAGTTGGTTAGAGACAAAGCAGAGAGCGATATTTTGCGGGCGCTCAGCGATGCTCAAAATAGCCAGATGAGCAGTGAACTGGTGGAAAAGCGAGATGAGCTGGGTGCGACGTTCGAGAGAGTTGCCTAGGTCAGGTACATATGGATTGGGATATATTTAGCGAATCTTAATATAAGAAATACTCTGTAGATAAGCCCTAGAATTGATCTGTAATGGAAGTTGATAAACATATTGGACCAACTATGAAGATGGTTCATGCCTGACCCGCGATGGTCTTGGCGTTTGCGTACCCGAAGGCACAAACAACACTCCAGTCTAGACACCAACGCTTTAAACGCCACAGCTAGGTCTGCACAACCTTGTTTCAATCCGATATCAGGTTGTATATTGCACAAGTAGCCACAACACAAAAATGCAGCGCCGTATGGTGAGGAGCATAATTTTCACATTGTGTTCGGCAGTCCGGCGCTAATCATGTGGCAGCTCACCAAAGACGACGAGGCCTCAGCGCAGAGCGAGGATCTCGAGGTACGACGTGAGGATCAAGAGAAGATCAACAGATTCAGTTCCCTGCACCAAAAGGAAGAAATTCTCGAGGAAGAGTTGCGGGCGAAGATTGTATGCCCTAGTTGCTTTCTCTAGCACCCGCCTCAGACTAATCATTGAGCACAGAAGGAGAAGGAGGATCTTGAGGAAATCTCGGGTGAATTAGAGCTTGTGGATGAGGAAGAGAAAGTACCGTAAGTTTTTTTCCATGTGAACTATATATTTTTTCCCTTATTATTCAGAATGGGATGAATCACATACTAATCAACAAAAACAGATACAAAGTCGGCGACTGCTTTATCTCATTACCCCAGCCCCAAGTTCTCGAGCTCCTCAGCTCATCAACCGAGACCATCGAAGGCGAAGCCGATGCCCTCAAGACGAAGCTTGAGGGAATCCAAGAAGAGATGGGAGAGCTGAAGAAGGCCCTGTACGGCCGTTTCGGCCGCAGCATCAACCTCGAGACGTAAAGAAAATATTCCAGTAGTCCACAAAGGCATCCAGACGTTTCTTTGATCTTCCCTCCTACGATTCATGACATCAGCAAATCAATACAAAGAAAAAAAAGAAGGAGATGCGTTTTCTTGATACATTCCAATTCCGAGGTTCATTGTTACCCCGACTCCGACCGCGGAATTC